CCCCAAAACCCCAAAACCCCAAAACCCCAAAACCCCAAAAACTTAATTTAAATAACTTCAGTTAAATATGAATCAAATGCTGTACGGTAAAATAAACGAGAATAGCGATGCATGTATTCAGGAAGTCCCTGAAGAAAGCTTTCAAGACATTTCTGAGGACGAGCACCAGGTTGTCCAGGATGTCACAATCACAACTGAGAAGGAAGTCAGGTGAGTTTTTTGTTGACATGGTGTAGCCTGAATCAGTTAGTTAAGAGCGAAATCTCTACACCTATTGAAACCAAACAGAATAATAAATATCATAGACAGAGAAGTATCGAGATGAGTAAGATCTCCAAATTAGGACCTTAATACCAAAGTTCCATACTCTTACATCAATTTAAAGATTTTTAACAGCTAATTTATAGCGATCCCTGAACAAAATTTGGGAAGTGATTTCAACCCTATTACTTCAAAGGAGACTAGTGGGAAGAATTCCTTGACAAATGAGGATCCTAAAACAAATCCCTTTGAGGTAGACCAGGCTTTTATCCAAAAATGATCATCGCCCTCTAACAGGCATATTTTTATCAAATCTGGAGATAACTCATTGAGGAATTCACAAATCTTAAGGAACACAGCAATGACTTCATCGTTTAGTTCTAAATTTTGGCAGTCTCAGATGCAGAATGCTCATGCGTAAGTCGATGGAGTCATTATTTAGACAAGAAGAGCTTAACTGATGAACTAAAAATTATGACCTTTGAAGGAACTCTTTGCAATCTTTGTAAGCAAATATGCTAAATGATAGACAACAAAGAGATGAGATTCAAATACTTTTGCAGAAAATTTATCATTTGGAAAACGAGAATTCAATTCTCAAAAATTCAAACAGATATTCGTTGTAATTGCTACCTCCTATATTTTTAGAGAAACTACCAATATCTCTCCTCCAACATACAATAAAAAGGAAAACCAAAATCCATCATCTAAATGTAAATCCTAATTCAAACCTCTCAAACCATCTCAAAACCGCTCTATCTCCCCTCCTAACCTTACTTTCCCCAATTTTCTAAAAACTATTAATCCCTTAGCCAAATCCTCAAATCCAGCCTCCAAAAACCTCGATTCAATGTCCAAAAAGCTCTCAGACCTCAAATCCAAGGCACTCCACCCTCTCTAACCTCTCTAGCTTTCCAAAAAGGACAAATAAGCTTAAATTCCAATCAGATCTCATCAAACGTCTCGAAACAGAAAAACTAAAACTCTCTGAAAAATGGGTAAAACTCAGTTCAAAATAACAAAAATGAGCTTAACCTAAAACTCAAAATTAAAGAACTAGGCAAGTTTGGTTCCTAAAACTCCTAGAGAGCTTAATCTGTCGTAAGAATGATGAAATAATGAACCTCTACAAAAAGATCAACGACCTTGAAGCCACCACAAAGGAACTATCCAAGAGTAAAACTCCTCTAATCCCTTAGTTCGAGAACATGAACAAAAAGAATTCAAACAAAAATTGAACGAATTCGACGCTGAAAGGGCCAAATTTGGAACTGAGAAGCAATCTAAAGTCCTAGGTGGGCAATTGAGTGGACTTAAACATCTAGAACTCAGGAAAGAAGTTGACAAATCAAATAAGGTCCTGACAAGCCAGATCGATGATTTGGTCAGAGAAAATGAGAGGATAAGGGCTGAGCTCAATGACCAGAAATCTAAAATTTTGGAGCTGAGGTAGGTTAATTGAGTGAGGCTTTAGGTCAGCAGAGGGAGAAGATATGGGTGCTCAAAAGAATGACAATCCTTCAGGGAAGCTTCAAGGTGTTGATGATTTTATTAATGACTCGAAGCAAGTTAAATCCTCACTTTATAATGAGTTCAAAATAGGGAATAAGAATTCAGTTAGGAGTGTTCTTAAAAGTGGTACAATTTCATTCCATCCAAATATGCAATGTTCTTCCCCAACTCCAAGATTAGAGGATCATGGAAACAACTACTCTCACACCCTTTCTCTTGAACATAAGTACAAAAGTCATATTTCATCCCCAAAGATTCAAAACTTATTCTTTGAGCCGCAGAATAGCTCTGCTACTATTGGAAAAGATCAGAACGTCAAAGATATCAGAATGAGTAGGAACTTTTTAGCTAAGCATTGTAATTCAGAATGAAATGCTCTTAACGAAAGTAAAGCTATCTACATTCCAAAGAACAATCAAGATTTGATTAATACAATGCTTGAAAACAACGATATGGCGCCTGTCAAACAAAGTAGTGAAAGAAACCCACATAGATATTCAAAGAAAAGCCTTAATTCTAAGATCAAAGACAAGGTGAAGAAGAAAGGATATTTGAATATTTCTAGGAGAAAAAGTACTCAAAAACTAAATCATAAAGGTAAACATATCTTGGCTCATCCTTTTATAGATCTGAAAAATCAGCTTAAAGAGAGCACCTCGAAGAAGCCGACGGTGAACTCAACTGTCAATACGGTGATTTTTAATAATTATAAGAAGGAGAAGAATCCCAAGAAGACATTGAATCACAAGATTTCTGCTATATCCCTGAGGAGGTCAACACTGGCTCTGAATAACAACTGGACAGCTGAACCCCCAAATGTTCCATCAGCTAAACGGCCTGAGATCTTGAATGATATGAGAAAAGTAAAGAAGAGCAATAAAAAGAGTTCGAGGTTGAACTCTACACTTAAAAAATCCTCCAAGAACCAAAACAGAACTTCAGAACTCAGCTCTGAAGTAGTTCATCCTTCAGGTTCTAAAGTAGTTAAACAGAATTATAACCTAAGCTCATTCGATAGCCAACTGTAAGTCTGTCGGTCTCATTATAGGGCTGGAAGCAGGAAGCCAAAGTCGTTCCTGATGAGTAACTTGGAAAGCATGGGGCTTCAAGAGCTGAAGAGGCAAGTTTCACCTGAATCTACTATTAAATTCTTTGAGCCATAAGACAAGTTCAGCCAATAATTCTAAAAACGGGGTTTTGGGGTTTTGGGGTTTTGGGGG